GCCGTAACGTTGACGTTTATTGCAAGAACATTGTAAACCAACTTCGTGTCCTTGGAATTCATGGCCGCCTTATATTTGCAAAATTAATATAACAAGGGGTTATGTTGAGTTTTCCAGTGAACTGTGACTGTATTTGAAATGCTACTTCAGTAACATATAGTTTCATAAGATTTTCTTATTAGTCATTAAAGTTTCTTTGTAATCATATATTATTTCATACCGGTTAAGAATTAGCTTCTCTTATTGGATAACAAGGGGCAACATGACATTCTTTATTCTTAAGTAAAAAATTCCATCGGTCTTTAACAGAAAAAAAAACGGACCAGAAAACCGGTCGTTAACGGACTTTTGCATGTTAATGACCAGTGGGGTGTGGTTTCTCTGTTTAGAGTGATGTCCCTTTAATAAAACGCAATCGCGATTCAGACGATTGGAACATGGCTGAACTGGAAAGCACGTCTGCTACAGACAACTCAAATGATCGTTTTGCCGTACTTTCCGATGCTGATAGAGACAAACTACTCAGCAACAAGAATTATAAATTTATAGAAAACTTTATTTTGTATTCATATACTGAAAACTTGCACTTAAATGAATGGCAGTGACTTATAGTTATCACTATGACTGGTCTTCACTCTTTCCTATAGAAATCGTACAATAACTCAAGTTTGCTTTGAACAATTTGAATTTATGAGAATTTTTAAAAACATGGTTCCTCAATGATATAAATATAACAGTTATTGAAAAACTGGTCATTATCGTGATACATGGACTGCCCGTAGGACAGTTGTATTGACTAAGACAGCGATAATGACCTCGGCCTACGGCTCAGTCATTATCGCTGTCTTAGTCAATACCACTGTTCTGTGGGCAGTCCATATGTCACGATAATGACAGGTTCTTTAATAACTATTATATAATTTCATTATGTTCAATGCGTGAATCAGTTTTCTTGATATTCTCTTAAAGTACATGTTTTACAATTTAACATGAGATTCGTGATTTTTTATTGCTTTCAATATTAAATTGAAACCTTCAGTATTTCAAATACTTACTTCAAAATGAAAAGTATGAATGAATAAGTACAACATAAACACTACAATTGTTATTGTTGTTATTCTATTTTTTCAAAGTTTTTTGTGTATGTGTGTGTGAGTGTGTGTTTTTTTGTTTTGTTTTATAAGTAATCATTACACTCGTATCCTGTCTTTAAATTCGTTATTATTTCAATCGTTCATTGGAGTTTGCCTTTACCTTTTTCTCAAATTAAAAAATAAAGTAGTATAAGATGTCCAATTGGAAATTGTCAGTTTAACACAAAGTAACAATTTAAATAGATGATGTTTTACTTACATGTTGTGTCTTCATAATCTTGAGGCAAATTATTTTTCAAGACTTTTCAAAATTGACAAAAATTCATTGAGAAATCTGGATCATTCGTTTTGAAATGAATTGTCCATTTCGATGAGAACCGATGGGCTTTTTTTTCAAGTTTAGCGGGATGAATTCAGTAATAATTAGATGCTTCTCTTGCATTTAGTATTTGTTTTTTTTTCTCCTTGTGCAGTATGAAATCCAAGTACTGAATTGCCTCTCAGGTAAAAGAAATTTTATGGTTTGAGTTCAAAAGAGAACCCTGAACACGACTAAATTTATCGCAAGAACAATAACTAAAAATTACTTAAAATATTTACACAAGATATAACGAATTTATATGTATATAAAATGTTCAATATCGTCAATACTACCATTCACAAGTAACTTTGTGTAGTTGATAAAATTTTACACTCCTTATGTCCCTTATGGAATAAGAGACTGTTTTGAACTTTTGACTTTGTATCTCAATATAGAAAGTTGTCAATTGGACCACTGGGTTATTATAAGTTTACTTACAATACCAAAAGTTATATACTTGTCCTAGCAATGACCTTCTTATTTTAATCATACGAATTTATTTCAAGTTATTTAACTTTCACTTGTAGGTACACTTTTCGAAATATAATTCTGGGAATTTTAGGATTGTCGTTATCAACAGCACGATGTCGAAGTGTGCACGCGCTATCATGAATTATTCATTTTTGCTAAATTCTCTGTATCAGAAGTATGAAACCCGCATTGAAATCAGGTTCTTCGTATTCATTATTAATAAGATCAGGTTACTTAGAAGTTTACCTAAAAAGGTATTGAAAAACACATTCCAATCCTGTCAATTTTTATACACGTGACGACGCATTCAATGTTCATCGACTCAATTTTGTGTTGTTTGGACGAATATCTAAAAATAAAAGCTGAAAAAGCAAAAGTTGAATGTATACGAGACAGGTACATTCGTACTGGGTCAGAATGTGCATACAGTGTACGAATCTATGGTCGCTTTGGAGCTGTAACTTTAATTCCTTTACATATGCAAATTGCATGATTTCATCAACTATAAGAATTTATCAAATCACGAAATCGCATGTAATAAATTATGCCACTACCGATTCACTGACTTTAAGGTTGATAACAATAGGAATAATAGTCCAGTAGCAACAATATGGGTACTTCTGAGAGTAAACCAAATTCATGCATCATGTTTTTTCGTTGGTTATGTTTTCATTGTATTTGTATGTATATTGTTCTCATCTCAATTGTTTTTGGTCAGATATTTATTTCGGATATGGATACTTAAAATTTACAAAAAAAATACAATAAAAACAATCTAAGTATCTCTCCTCGTGAAAGAGTATAAAATTATTTGACTGCTTCTGTACCTTTCACATAAGTATTCCTCGTTCTTAACTTTTAAACAGACTGAAATGATTAGCCTTAATTTGTTGCATGTAAAAGAATGGAAAACGCTAAAACGAATTTCTTATTTAAGGTGGTACCAAACACCTTGACTAAAATTAATTTGGCTCGTTTAATTTTCATAAAGTTTTGACAAAATATTTACTTTGACCCTTTGATAAAAATATAAAAAATTACAAAAAACTTGAACCACACACTTTATCGGAAAAATTTTATTGGATATATAGCAGTTTGACAAACACTAATTTTGATCATTGAGAAGCTTAATATTTCCTGAACAATAGAACGTGTTTAAAACGTTCAGCTGATTTTTAAAGAGTTATCTCCCTGTAGTGTTATGTTCCACATTAAAGAAGAGACAATCATACTTTGTAAAACTCCAGGTTCATTAAAATGTTCTCATTGTGAACTTTTTATTCTATGTTCGATCATTCCAGAAGCATCTGTATATCGAATTATATATCTCCCAGTTAATACGACATTTCAGGGATTGTGTTTTCTATCATGATTTCCTTGATAGAATGTTAAGCAATAGAAAAAAAGTATAACAAAAATACCGAACTCCAAGGCAAATTCAAAAAGGGGGAAGTTCATAAAAACGAACAAAATCAAACGTTATCAACCTACGGAACGAGTGTAAAACAATTGTTGTTTCCTGACTTTGTACAGGCATTTCCGAAGAAAATGGTGGGTTAAACCTGGTTTTAGAACCAAGGGTTCAAATGGTAAAGTTGATGACATCCCTTCAAAGGTTTTACGGACGCTATTATGATTTGTTGGGCGTTATGGAACATCCGTGTCAAATGCAGGTTACAACGTATTTGTTCCATTTGTCCTCCCCAAAATATATTTCCTCGATTCTGACATCACTGAATGTGACTTATTAGCGATTTGTTTACTGGCAATGAATGACACGACGGGTGATACTGGTGGAGCTGGAATTTCTTATATGCTTTCGGGGAGTTCGAACCTGCTTTCAGGTCCGGTTTAGGTTGGGTTCCGTGTTACTCGATCTTTATTAATATTTCTGTGTAGTGTTTTTGGACTGTTGTCTATTCGTTGGTTTTATTTTTGGCCATGATGTAGTTTTTTTTCATTCGATTTATGTTTTTTGATAGTTCCACTTGGAATCTTTTTTTCGATGTGAACATTATACAACAATTAAGACGATGTTAGTGGAACCTTAGATAAACCAAAAGTCCTTTGGACTATGTAAGGTAGTTGTTAGATTTGCAATCATACCACATCTCATTATTTTTATACCAAAAGGGAGAACTTGTACCAGATTATAATTATTTATAAGCAGCTTCGTGTTACTATGTATAATAAATACTTGAACAAGTATTAGGTATTAGTATCGAGTAATATAATGACTTCTTCGATTTATTTTTTCTGTACAACATTGAAAGGTCAAATTGTATAGTTCCTGGAAAAAGTAAAAAATCGGTCATGACACGTGTATTTTAGTAAAAACAGTTTTAAACCCTCCTGTTGAATTAATGCCTGTGCAATTAAAGTATCTTAAACTATGTTTTTGTGACATATGAGGATTTCCTGTTCTGTGTACCAGTGGGACTTGATCACCAAAATTGTTTACGACATTTTAAGGTCATCCAACGACATTTCAAAACTGCATATAATTTTTTTTAGTTGAGATGGTTTTGGGTTGTTCCAAATGAAAAATATTTTTTTGTTATGGGCAAATATTTTGCTTTCGAAATTAAAAAAAAAGGTTCTTCATATTTTGTTGCACGAGAAGCATCTTGGTGTAGAAACAGAGAGAGAGAGAGAGAGAGAGAGAGAGAGAGAGAGAGAGAGAGAGAGAGAGAGAGAGAGAGAGAATGGTGAGCCAAACATTCATTGCATATCAGAGAACCTATGATATGCAACGATAAAAAAAGTTTCTATTTAAATACTCCCTACGTAATCCTTTCTAACCATTTAATGTGCCGTAGGCATTCTTTGTTTCTTGGTGAAATACAGAAATAATAACCTTTGACGTATTGTATCATATTAAACATTATAATATTTTAAATGTGCGAAAAGATGCAATATGTTATTGACGTTATAAATTTTCCTTGGTAAAGATACTATGAAATAATTGTATAATTTTTCATTGAATGTACCTGTCAGACACCTTTACTGAAACACGTGCACTGCTCAATCATTGTTTTTTCTCCTTTATTAAAAAATGTCAATCAATATTTCAGACAAATAGATGGAGACAGCGGGCCATCATCCAGACATGAACGAGACAGTCCACCTACACCACACAACCTGTCACATGATTGGGTTATTTCTGGGAATCCACGTGGCATCAGCAAGGTGAAGATCGATAAGAGTATCTGTGTAAGCACAAAATCACTTGTCATGACAAAATTTTGAATTACTAAAAAGGAAACTGCGCCAATCATCAACACACTCGTGCAAGCAAGAAAACAACAACTGTTACACACACAATTAAGAAAAACACACGAGTAAGGTAGTTAAATTGATGCAGACATAATAAAAGAAGTGTTAAACTTGTTTTCATCCTATCCAAACGATTCATCCCCCCTTAGGTTAACCTTGTGTTGTCAAAAAAACCAATAATGAAACTTTTTGGATGACCACTAAATTATGGCTAATGCAATTATAAGTTATGCGGGATATTTTAGGAGTTTTACAAGGCATGGTATTTTTCTACCATTATGTGTGTTGCTGTTATATAAAAACCTTTTTAGAAGTACCGAGGTTTATATAAGACTGTAAAATGATTTGTAAAATATATTTAATTAAAACTGGCTTTTATTAGCTATGAGAATCCTTTATCGTGATATTGATAAGATGTATTCCGATATAAAAATTCTTAACTAATATCAGTATGTTTTAATGGTTTAATATTTGTTTCTTCCACTGAAGAATATGAAAAGATTTGAGTACTTGTCAGTGACTCTTCGTGTCGTTTCATCTTTTTAGTCGTCACTGATTAATTCATTCACAACTTGACTATATTACAAAACAGTTTTTTGTCAAATAACATGGGGCTTCGGTGGCCGTGTGGTCTAATAGACTTCATTTGTAGTGATCACTAGCACGTCAACACTGAGGTTGTGAGTTCAAACCCAGCTCGTGGCAAGGTGCAACGTGCATGGATTGCCAGTTTTCCTACCGAAGGTCAGTGGCTCTCTTATTCTACTCCGGATGCATCTACACAAAAAAAAGTGTGTTTCAAATGGCGTTAAACACCAACAATCAATCAATCTATTTGCATTGAATCGAATTTGAATAAAGTTTCATTTAGATTTCTGTATGTCTCATAAAATATAAAATAACATGCAACGGTACTTTATTATTTACGTTTAATGTCATTGTCACATGAACAAGGTTGTATATTTTTCAAAAACACGGCGATTAATTTGATGGACTTTAAACGACATAGATTTCATAGTACAATAACCTTTGTCAACCTGTTGCATTCATTTCTCAAAATTCGTGTGCAAATAATAAGATTATGATTGATCATCTTCACCTTTAAATTGTATCTGGATGTACTATCAATTACAGTTATTAAATATGGTGCACAATTTTACACAAGTAAAAAGAATTCTGAAACAGGACGTGGATTTAATTTATCTAACTACTGCGTGTTGGGTGCAAATTAACTATTTAAATAAATAAATAATAGATAAATTAGTTTTACGTGTCATTATTGAAAGGAAATTGTTGAAAAAATCATTTTATAAATATAGATTCTATCAGTGCATCCAATAGCAGTTCCTCATTTGAACTTTTTGAAAGCCCCAGACTTGCTAAATATTTAAAATATTGAATGATTGTAGAAATATATTATTCTGCGATACAATACAAAACTTCGGTCGGACGGACGGCACAGACCAGAAAACATAATGCCCTCTACTATCGTAGGCGTGGCATAATCAAACAATTTTGACATTTTTTTATTATTTATTTCAAAACTGAATAAAAGGGACATTCCAAACAAAACCAAAATTCTACGAAAGCATTTTGTTGTCTTTAAGATGAAAATCCTTTTTGGTTCTGGGTGCTCTGTAACGCGAATTTTGACAAAACTATATAAAAAATTCCAATATTTCAATAAACTGTCTTCAATGGCGATATCTACGTTGAACTATTTATTTTATATTATATTATGGGTGTTATTGAAAGTATTGGAAAGTTATCAAAGTATATTATTTAAACTGTTTAATAATAAACCCCAGTAGGTTTCATTTAGTCATCGATATCATATCAGTGACCATGTGAATGAAACAAATACATGACCATACATTGGGAATACATGACCATACAGTGGGAATACATGACCATACATTGGGAAATGTTGAATCACATGCGATGCAGTGATAGACTGTGTTTCTGTAGTAATGATTTTAATATATAGGCAAACATTCATATTTTCTGTTACTCTGTAGTAAATCGAATTCTTTCTGCGTAACGTACGTCCTTTTCGTGTCGTCACAACTACCAAACATGAGTACTGCAAAGAAAGGTTACATCCATAATGGATTATTGGATCATAACCAATAACAATTTAAAAAAGAGCTTAAGATAAAGGGAACCAAAGTATTTTTTAATCTAATATCAAACAATTGCTTTGATGCAGGAACAAAAAAGTTGAATGCAGTCGTCTTGCGGTTTTTCCTGGAATAGTTCTCAAACACTTGATATAACGATTGATCAATATATGGAACACGGCAATCTGCACGTATTTCTGGGGTAGACTTTTAAGGGGGAGCTTATAAGTACTCTTGTCCAGGTATTGCTATACTTTGGTAATAAATTATGTAATACCACAATAGATGGAACTCTGTAATCTGCACGTATTTCTGGTGTAGACTTTTATTGAGGAACTAATAAGTACTCTTGTCCAGTTATTGCCATACTTTTGGTACTAAGCTATGTCAATACCACAATAAATGGAACACTGCAATTTGCACGTATTTCTGGTGTAGACTTTTATTGAGGAACTTATAAGTACTCTTGTCCTGGTTTTGCTGTACTTTTGGTACTTTTCGGTTATATCTATTCTTCAACACTTGTATAAAGTTTTGGGTTTTTAACCATCTTGACCTTGGTCATTACTGAAGAGATATTACTAGTAATTGTCGACATGTGTATCGGGTGTAGTTTAATTGGTACCTTTAATACTATTGAAGTACTTATGTATATTTCACAACGATAATTCATTGTTCATACACATCGCAACAAAAAATAAATTATTGTTAAGGAAATTTGCCATAACAGGCCGAACTAGTTAGGTTCTTTTGCTTTTCAAACTTTGGGCTTGAGCGTACCGATGATGCTTATTCAGAAATAAGTGTTGAAGACGATGAAGGTAAAGAACTGTTCAGTTTTTAAAAATCATATATGAAAGATTGTTATCGTCTTCTATGGTTCGCTGTCAAATTTAAATCCATTGATATTTATTATCTTTAGGTGCACACATAATTTTTCTTCTTGAAAGGAGTCATTTTTGGAAGGATGGTGTGGAATATTTGTATTTTCAGAAAGTCAGAGTGATGCACGTACGCATTGAAAGAAACATATTTTTTTTTAATATCTGGAACGACATCGGTTCAGACTATACAGAAGTGAGTGATATACTACGATGAAATTTATTAATAACTCAGTCGCAGGTTTCTGCGATACAGGAGATACAATACATATAAGCACATAATGCAATGCCATGGCTAATAGATAGGAAGACAATAAATTATAAATATAAATAGTATACAACACAAACAAACAACAACAAGAATGTGTCCATAGTACACGGATGCCCCACTCGCACTATCATTTTCTATGTTCAGTGGACCATGAAATTGGGGTCAAAACTCTAATTTGGCATTAAAATTAGAAAGATCATATCATAGGGAACATGTATACTAAGTTTCAAGTTGATTGGACTTCAACTTCATCAAAAACTACCTTGACCAAAAACTTTAACCTGAAGCGGGACAGATGGACGAACGGACGGACGCACAGACCAGAAAACATAATGCCCCTACTACAATCGTAGGTGGGGCATAAAAAGCAAAAACTCAAGAGATCACCATATAGCTTTAATAATAGACAAGTGTCTATACAGGTGATGATCTAGGATTTTTTAAAGGGAACTGGCGTAAGTGCCGAAAACGGATTATATACAGCCAAACATTTTTGGACGATTTTATGCTAAAAATTTTAACTTTTCTATTAAGGGGCGTACGCCCTCTATACCCCCCTCCGAATCCGCCAAATGAATGCTATTTAGTATTTCAAGTTCAAGTTAACAGATAAAATAAAAGATCTGCCATTACTAAATTTCCTAGGACAAATATTAAGATATAGTTAAGACAGCCACTGACGAGGGAGTAAGAAGTAGTTCAAGCGATGTTTGATCATTATAGTCCGAATAACAAGAATACAAGTACATAAGAACATTGATGACGTTAATGATTTGTATGTATGTTGAATAAAAGAAATTCAAACTTTTAACAATTTTTCTGTAGTAAGTGAATTATGGTGGCATTGATTAAATCGTTTCTTTGAAGTTAGAAATATTTTTTTTTAAAATGTTGTGCGTTCGAAGAGCTTTGCTTGGTTGACCTGCACCAGGAACGCCCAAAACCAAAATTTAAAACAAAATCGAGGGGCTATATGACCAAAGGGATCAGATAAGAACAACCAAAGCTATATAAGTAGTAGGAACATTGTTTTTATTTAATGTATCCAAAACTGTTAACGATAATTTTAGGAATGTGTGGTAACAATCATATTAGTGGCAAAGACCGACGATTGGACTAGTGAAACCCTCGGGGATTTATAGCACGGTCAACCAGCAGCGGTATCGACTTGTAAAAACAAATTATTACGAACACATTTTGCTCTCTTACAACAATAAAAATTCCTTCATCTGTCATATATGTAATAAAAGAACTCTCTTCTGTAGGAGAATATAAAATAAAACGTTCAGTTATATCAAATTATGGATGTCTCAATACTGTTAGTTCACAAATTTTTTAGATATTTTTTAAAATATTGCAAAAAATTGCGACTGAGTTTGTCCGCAAGAAAAATATTCGCATTTTAGATTTTAATAGCATTACTTGCATGCAGCATTTACTGAAATCGCAATAATTAATCTCACGTGCATTTCAGTCCATTCTTTAAAAAATCGCAAACATCGATGCATGCACAAAATTCTGAATTTACAGAATACAAGTTTACCGCAGTTTTTAAGATTACATTTTTATGTTTCGTTTAGTGTAAACAATATTTTGTTGTGAAAATAATATCATACACATTATAAATATGACCGTTTTATTAGGATTGGAATACAAGCGAATTTTCACTTTTACAAATTTCGTTTAAAGTACTGTACACGTATATCTCAAGAAATGTCCTTGATGGTTATACTTGATTCAACATTTTTTAAAAATTTAACTGTTTATAAATCATGTTTTTTTGTAGGTCAATGTCGGATTACTTTAACCAAGACGAAAATAGACGGAAGTCGGAAGAGAGAACCGGTACAATTTCCTCTAACGAGAAAAAGATGTATGTTTCGTGTATTTGATAGAATTTAAATATTCTCACGGCAACAAATATGAACACATCCCTTTAAAATATATCACGGTAGAAAATATGAACACATCCTTTTAAAATATATCACGGTAGAAAAAAGAACACATCCTTATTAAAATGCTCACAGTGGCAAATAAAAACATTTTCACGATTGCAAATATGAACAAATCCTTATAAAAATTCTCACAGTAGCAAATATGAACACATCCGTATGAAATTATCACGGTAGCAAATATGAACACATCCTTATAAAAATTCTCACGGTTGCTAATATGAACAAATCTTTACAAGTATGAAAATTCTCGCGGTAGATAATATAAACAAATCCTAACTTATAAAAAATCCCACGGTAGCTTAAATGAACACAGCCTTACTTATAAAAAATCCCACGGTAGCTTAAATGAACACAGCCTTACTTATAAAAAATCCCACGGTAGCTTAAATGAACACAGCCTTACTTATAAAAATTTGCACTGACGTGTAGCAAATATGAACAAATCCTTCTAAAAATTCTCACGGTTGCAAATATCAACAAATCCGTTTAAAAATTCTCACGGTAGCAAATATGATCGCATCCTTACAAAAATTATTACGGTAGTAAAATAAGCATTTTATTCAAATTTGATATTACAACGTTAGTGTAGAATAAAATCAGAATAGCTACTTAGAAAACGAAACCCTATATACTTAAGGTACTTGTGGCAATAAAAGAAACGTGTATTGAATAGTGGGGCATTTTCATACTGTAATAACCACAATAGGTTTTGTGAGAATGTATCACCAATTGGCATTCTTACAATACTACACGTATCTTCCATTTTTGGTAGCAGTGTTAAACATCCATGAAACCTCAAAAAAAATATTTCCAAATTCGTTAAGCAAGGTGGATTTGAACGGTTGACAGTTGTTTGTGTTCATATTTCCAGGTCTTGTATGCATTGTTTTCCATAATATTTTCCTTTAACGTTTCTGGAGATGAAACACTGAAACACGTTCCATGCTCATTTTAACCTTGCTAGGTATTATATATATCATTGTCTTTTCATTGAATGTAAATTAACTAATGCCTACACTGTTGAAATATGCATAAATCAAGACGTGACAGAATATTTTCCATTTTAATGAGACACTATTGTCATCATTCAGGTCGATGAGTACAAGTACGTAAGATCAGGGGCGTGCATCCCAAAAAATAAAGAAAAATGTATTTTTTTTGCAATAAACCTTCGAATTTGTTTTCTTCTCGCTCCAACCGGCGACATTACTAGAGTCCCGCCCCCTTACCACAAATCCTGAATCAGCCCCAGGGGATTTAAAATAATTTCACTGTCGGCCGCGGTAACGATAACATTGAAATATTAAGATCATCCGAAAAATAAATTTTATCATTTAACATTTTTTGATAAAATTTCTTTTAACGAATTACATAATGAATTTCATAAAAGGATAAAAGTATAAAACGCTTAAGAAGCGCTTTACCAGATGAACCTTCTAAAGGATAGCTCAAACAAATCTATTTCAAAGCCAACGATGTATAAATACTTACATATATAAGTAGGGCACACGTGCCAAAAATATCTGTCCTATTTAGAGAACAGTTTTGTTTACATACCGAAAACTACAACGTCATACTTTTTGTTTTGTTTTGTTTTAATATTTTCTTGAAATCAACTGATCTCCGAGCACAAATAATCTTAAATTAGAATAGGGGGAGGATTGAGTGGTCAAAAACATGTTTAACTCCGCCACATTCTTTGTGTGCCTGTCCCAAGTCGACCAGGAGCCTTTTATTCAGTGGTTGTCGATGGTTGCTGTCTGTTATATTTGTTTTTCGTTTATTGTTTTGTCATAAATCAGACCGTTGTTTTTTTCGTTTTAATAGTTTCATATTTGCCATGTCGACTCCCCTTTAAGCGCTTATGGGTTATGCTCATTGTTGAGGTTCGTACGATTGCCTGTAATTGCTTAAATACACGTTGTTTGTACTCGTTTTGATAATTGTCTCATTGGCAATCATTTTTAAATTAAATATACTTTTAATCAAGACTTTTGCGTGTTTCGTGGTGAAAATTCTGAAAAACATATTGTTTACGCTAATACAAATATAACATGGACTTGTTTGTTTGTTTTCTATATGTATGTAAAATTACACATGAAGTGTTTACCCCTGAAAACTTAAGTTCATCGATAGCCCTTATTTGTTTACCAGCGATTTATTTACAATGTCAAATGAGTCACAACAAAACTATTTAAATCATAACCTTTTGAACTACAACTGTTTTGTTTTTTTTCTTAGTAAAGAAGTAGGATATAATTGAAGATATATTTAAGATATAAATATTTAGTACGATCAAGGCTATGGCTCGATTGATTGATTGGTGATTGCTTTACGCCGCATCAGCACAAAAAGGCTATATCGTGGCGAGAGATATTTTAAATATTATAACAAGACGTTTTATTAAAAATCAGACAAAAAGTCTTTCAATTTACTAAAACTTTAGTTTAAAGCGAAATTGATTATGTACAAATAAAATTTCATCAATAGGATAACATGATAAAAACTTAAAATCATTTTAAACTAATACAACAAATTCAAATTTTGGAATATATTCCAATTTCTTTTAAAAATGAAACAATTATTTCAACCGGAATATTATTAAATAAATTATACTTATTATTTACAATAAAATGGTTTTTTTCCTGAATTCGGAAAAGTCTATACATTCAATTAAAATATGTTTAATTGTATACTTGCAATCGCAAGGTATACATTCTGGTTGAATTCCATTTTTTAAAAGATATTCGTGTGTTATTCTAGCATGACCAATACGGCATCTAGAAATAATACACTGATCTTTCCTGCTAATCAATTTGTTTAAAGGTTTGCATAAAGTTGGTTTAATTTCATGCAATTTATTGTCATTTCTTTTACTCCATTCTTCCATATATTTAAAACATATTCTCTTATATTAGATTTAAAATCAGTGTATGCTTTTTCACATTTAGATATTGGGTCGTTCAGGGTATTCTCTGCTTCCTGATCTACAACAATGTTTCCGTGAATGCCGGTATGACTTGGCACCCATAAAAATATAATTTCTTTATTGAGAATTTTCAAATTTCTCATTACGTAAAGGATATTTAGAATTAACGGGTTTTTAATTTTGGTATTTTGTATTGCTTGAAGACATGCTAGCGAATCAGAACATATAATAAACTTTGATTTGTCAGAAGTAGCAATATACTGTAAGGCCAGAATTATCGCATTAGCTTCTGCAGTAAAGATGGAATGCAGCAGAAGGTAAGCGGAGAGTTGCAGCTCTGTCACCAAAGACAGCAGCAGACGACACTCTGTCTCCATCCTTCGACCCGTCAGTATAAACTCTTGAAAAATCAGGTGTGTTGGATTTTATTTCAGCATAATGTTGCTGAATTAAAAGAGGATGTGTTTCAGTCTTTTTGTATTTACGGAGATCAAATAACATTTTTGGTTTTTGAAGTTTCCAAGGGGGACATTTACAAGTTTTAACTGGAGCAACAGATTTCAAATCAAAGGTATTTAAATGTGGTTTTAAACGAATTCCTAATGGAGGAATTTTATTTTCATGCTTTTCAAAAATATCTTCATAAATGGGATTGAAAACACAGTTATAGGCAAGGTTGTCCTAAATGCATTTAGCCTGACAGCATACTGAAGACCAAGCTTCAAACGTCTATGAGAGAGCGAAGGCTCGTCGGCCTCTACATATAAACTTTCAACTTGCGAGGTTTTAAAGGCACCAAGACACAGACGAAGACTTTGGTTATGCACAGCATCGAGAATTTCTATGTATGACTTCCTTGCGGAGCCATGCACTATGGATCCATAATCTAGTTTAGACCGAACAAGTGACCTTAGTCTATATAAATTTAATAAAATGTTGCGATCAGCACCCCGGTCAGTGCTAGCCACAACTTTTAAAATATCCAAAGCTTTTAGACACTTTGATTTTAAGATTTTGATATGGGGAAGAAAAGTTAACTTTCTATCAAAAATTAAACCATGAAATTTGGTTTCATCAACCATTTTAACTGGTTTCCGTATAAATAAAGTTCAGGATCAAAATATAATTTCCGTTTGTTGCAGAAATGCATCCCGACGGTTTTTGAAGCAGAAAATTTAAAACCATTTTCAGAAGCCCATTTTTCAATTCTACCAAGACATAATTGTAATTGACGTTCAATATTACTCATATTTTGACCTCTGTAACAGATTAAGAAATCATTAACGTACAAAGAACCTTCCATATTGCTTTTTAAAACTTCAAAAAGACTGTTTAAAATTGGAAGGCTATGGCTCGAAGAATCTCGCTTAAACCTGTGTATGAGTCAACAATACGAATAGAATAAGATGAGAGTTAAACGTCAATGAAACAGAAACCGGACGACAAAAGTTATAAAATACACAAATCTTACATATGAATTTCAGTTAAAAAGGAGTTTTATAAAGCACGATACCAGCATTAATACGGTTATTTTCATAATAAGAGGGCTACCCCCAGAAACTATTATGATACAGATTTCTTGAATTTCCAGAAAGAAATTTAAATGTTAATCATTAACCATTTTACTTGAAAACTACCGTGTTTTTTGTTTTTGTTTTTTTTTATCGAAAGAGACATTGGGTTCAAAAGTTCACAATATCATAGAGTTGTGTAGGAAACTCATTACTTGGCAAATACAACACAAACTTATCTGAAGAATTGAAATATTTTTGGAAAAATGTTAAAAATTATCGCTTTCAGGAAACAAATAGAAAAATGTGTTAAACCTGGGTGGTTCGGGAAAAAAAAAGCATTTTTGTTAGCTAACACTAAATCAACACATTTGTGAAGTATCCCTTCTAGCAAAAAAAAAATAGTTCTGTTTCCTGTCTCCCTAATTATTCTAAATGTCCATGCCAACCGTTACACATTTTGGACATTTTTTGTTTAGCACCATGCAAGTCACGACATCTTTGATTTAAGAATCGTTGAATTCCACAACTATCTTTATGTCATTGATTACAGTCTAAAAGTCAGGAACCTGTGATCCAGTGTTTGTCGTTGGTTACTGTCTGTCATATTTGTGTTGTGTTCCTTGTTGTAGTATAAATGTTGTAGTATAAACGAGGCCATTGTTTTCCCTTTTGAAATATAGTTTGTCCTTTGGGTTATGGATACTAATTGTCTCATTGGAATCCTACCAAATCTCCTTATTTTTGTGTGAAAAATATTTTTTAACCTATCTACATACCCTTATTTTTGCCTGGAGACAAGACACAATTATATATGTTTGGCCTCTTGGTACAATCACATTTCTTCGAGTAATTCAGTCATCGCAGTGTATGTTTTTTTTTATTATTATTATTAAACCTTTATAAAATGGACGATGTTTTAAACAAGTATATTTTACATTTAAAAAAATCTTTGTTCTGTATTATTTTATTTTTTGATCTTTTTTTGGCAAATTTTAAAACATGCGATATTTTTCTTCTTCACAAAACAAGTAACATAGATACAAGATGGTGTCGCCCATAAATGCTAATTTCACCGTTTCAGAATGTAATTTGCCTTCCTTTGTAACATTTTAAAAAGCGTACACCAAAATTTTGTGTTTGGTTTACAATATTCTAAACAATGTATGGCTTTTATCAAAGGCGTAACGTTATTTTCATTTTGATGTACATGCAATAGAATTACCGACAATGCTTTAGATTTTGAAAATAAAGTGTCCATCTCATTTTAGAATTGTTCCTACCAAAAGTAATCACTGTTATCGAGCTGATGACTAAAACGTATGTTACTGTCATCCCAATTAGAAGAACCCAAATAAGTTTGAAGGTTTTTTTTTATCTTGATATATTTGTTTTATGCAGTGCTCGTGTAAACGTATATTTGTTCCACCTAACAGAAGTTCCACTGGAAAATTTGTTATAATAAATGCCATAATAAATGTTCCTGTTGGAACAACTATTCTATAATCTTTATTCCGTTATGAACAAATACTGTAATATTTTTTCCAGTGGAAATAATATTACAGAATAATTTTTCCATTTGGAACAAATGAACTTCCATTTCATGACACTTGGTCAAAAACCAGGTCGATTGTAATCAATTCTATGTTGGCATGATACCATTCATCATAGGTTTTTAAGTTTAAAATCGAATCTAACAGGCGGTTACTAAGAACGTCAGAGAACTTGTAATTTCGGTAACTAAAACAATTAAAAATTCATTAACAAGGCGTTAAAGAAACAAAATACAAACAAAAACACAACATACACATTAACTTAAAATAGAGTGAAACCAAATAAAAACCGAATTAATTGAAACTAAATTGAAATTATAAACGGAAGGGTTAGCGTAGGTTGTTACTTTAGCAACAGCGCAAGAGAGCAATAGCAGCAGTCAATATTGAAACGAATAAAAATCCGTAGAAAATTAACATCGACTATCTAACCCGAACACGAGTTGAGTTATGAAATATAAAACATTAAAAGTCTCAAAAAAATGAATGGCTTAAAAACAACAAAAATGATAAAAACAAAGCAAACCTGTGAGCCAAGGCTCCGTATTGAAGGCCGTACTTCGACCTATAATTGTTTACTTTTTATACATTGTGACTTGGATGAAGAGTTGTCTCATTGACACTCATACCACATCTTCTTATTTATATATATATACTGATTAAAAGGTCAGTGTCAGACCACCGCACCGTTCCCATTTGGATAACTCAATAACCCACATGACAGTGAGTGCTTGATACTTACATATCAGAGGCAGACATACTATCTGACCAATCGTATAGCGGATACATATATCTCAATTGACACTTTACTCTCGTTCATAATCCTACCATACAAAACAGACTTTATTAGCAAAGTTGTGCTCCCTACACAAAACTGCTCCGACAGAGTTCTTAGGACAAACGACTAAAATCGACAAAACATTAGTTTCACGGTCTCATCACGAATTGTTTGACCGATACGAAATGGCTGTGTCCTTTTCCTGATATTGACAGTTTGACAGAGTGTGGATTCGCATGGCGGGAAATGTATAACATTGCGCACGATGTTGGTACGAATTCCATTATGCTAAATATTATCATAAAAATAAATACGTAGACTGGTCAGTTCGATAAAAATATAGTGATGTTTGGTTGAATTGATTACAATAGACTTGAAAATAAAGGAAAAAAAACTGAAATTTGAAATAGCAAAAATCGTAACACTTAATTATCCCATTTTTACTCAAAAACGTAATGTCCAACGTTACATTGTGTGTGCAAAAGATCGGAGTTCCACGTCTTTCATATCGTATTTTTTCTCTGATCATCGTAAAACTTCACAAGAGTATTGCTAAAAGTTATAGTTATTTGCGTGTTAAAGCAAAATCAATATCATCAAATATAAGCTTGAACGCTTAAAACATTCTTTGAAATCGTCAAAATCGCCTTATTATATAAAAGAAACGTCATGTAACGCTCAGTAGTATTAACATCCTGCGCAACGTCTATGCATTGAAGAAGATGCTTACCCTGTAGACGCATCTGGTCTCGCTCCTTTTGGAGTTCGTGCGTTTCTCTCAGTTTTTGTTTGTTA